CATGACCTGAACTGAAATCAAGAGCTGGCTGCTTTAACCAACCAAGGTGTATTATTAATGCAGTTTTTCAGAAGTTAAACTGAGGCACAGAGAAAAGGTAATTTGCTCAAGATCTCATGTCTTGTAAGTGGCAGACTTGTGATTCAAGCCCAGGTATTCTGCCTTTACGTATAACTGTGTACTACAGCAAGAAACAAGTAGAACTATGAATTGAAATATGAAGGGGAACTCTCTATATGCAAAAAGCTCTTCCTAAATGTTGCTGGTGTAAAAGGCAACTTGCTAAATGATATTAGATTTTTAATGTTAAAAGCAGTAATAACAATGAAAGGGGAAAAAAAACTAAGTGCAAAAAGGCAATATAAATATACCTGTATGTATTGGGTACAAATATACTGCATTGGATATATTTATGTAGAGATTTATATCAAAACGTTAACAGTGCTTAGGGTGCATTGGTGGCTCAGTAAGTTAAACATCTGATTCTTGGTTTCAGTGCAGGTCATGATCTCAGAGTTGTGGGATCAAGCTCCGAGTTGGGCTCTGCTCTCAGTGTGGAGTCTGCTGCAAGTTCTCTCTCTGTCTCCTTTTTCCCCTCTGCTTCTCCCCCACCTGCATGCTCACACATGCACTCTCTAATAAATAAATAAAATCTTAAAAAAATAACAAAAACACTCATAGTGGTTATCTCTGGAGAGGGGAGTGGGATGCTGGAGACAAAAAGGAGTATTTCATTTCGTACCCCATAATTTATATAGAATCTGGATAACTTAAAGAATGTGTATTATAAAGAAATAACCTGATGGGGGAAAGGAAAAGAAAAATGTCTATATGCAAAATATTAAATATGAAAATGGAAAATTGGTTCTAAATCATTTCTGTATCTTAATTCTGCTATTACTTAAGGATATGGCTGGTGAAAACTACTTGTCTTAAATTTCTTTCCCAATAGAGTAGAGAGGATAGTGGATGTTTTTCTCCAGAAACAGTGGGGATAAGGCAATCTTTTCAGAATATATATTTATTAATGGCTCATGTACATATCATACCCTTAAGTACTATACAATCTTCGAAAAATATTTTAATTATAAACTACTTCAAGTATGTTAAAATCTGGAGTAATACAAGTACACTTGACCCTTGAACAAATGGGTTTGAACTGCTTGGGTCCACTTGTATGCGGATTTTTGTCAGTATAGTAGTGTAAATGTACTCTCCTCCTTATGGTTTTTTTTTTTTTTTTAAAGATTTTATTTATTTTATTTGACAGATAGAGATCACAAGGAGGCAGAGAGGCAGGCAGAGAGAGAGGGAGAAGGAAGCAGGCTCCCTGCCAAGCAGAGAGCCCAATGCGAGGCTTGATCCCAGGACCCTGGGATCATGACCTGAGCCGAAGGCAAAGGCTTTAACCCACTGAGCCACCCGGGCGCCCCCTCCTTATGATTTTCTTAATGTTTTCTTTTCTTTGGTTTTATTGTAAAATCACAGTATATAATAATATAACATATAGAATATGTGTTCATCAACTGTGTGCATTTTCAGCAAGGCTTCCAGTCAACAGTAGGTATTCAGATTTGAGGGAGTCAAAAGTTATTACGTGGACCTTTCACAGGGGATTGGCCCGCCGAATCCCTGTGATTAAGGGTCGGGTATATCTGTTTTAAAACTGTAGTTTATAAAATACTGCAAACACAATGGATGACACCTGTCCATCTTCCCCAATCCAGTCTTCATTTCTTGGTACCCACTAGCAAACCTGTGTATTTTTTTTTTCTATGTATACAGCCATAATATCCGGTGTTGTTTTGCATATTTTATATAACTGGTGTCATAAATCATGGACTGTTGCATAACTTGTTTTTGCTCATTTTTGTGCTGCATCTGTGTTGACATGCGTAAGCTTGGTTTAATCATTTTGACTGTTGTACAGAAGTCTATCATATGAAGGTACTAATGTTGAGTGCTGGTTAGGACTTCCTTGTGCTGTTGTACACAACGCTGTCATGACCCTTTTTTTTTTTTTTTTTTTTTTTTGATGTTTTAATCTCTACACCCAGTGCAGGGCTTAAACTCACAAGTTGAAGAGGGATTTGCCTGCCCTACCCACTGAGCCACCAGGACCCCATTGTTAATATCTCCTTATGCACCTGCAGAAGTACTTGTTTAAGGAAACATGGTAATACATCTTTATTAGATATCAAAAATTTGATCATTGTGCCAATATGTTTTCCCATCAACAGTGAAAGAGTTCCACTGCTTTGTTGTCCTTGACAACACTTGCTATTTTGAAACTTAAATTGTTGCTAATTTGATGGGTGTGATGTAGTACTTCCTTGTGTCTTAACCAGTATTTCCTTGATTAGTGAACAGTATTCTCTCATTATTTATTGGCCTTTCAGATTTACTCTTGTAAGAAATCTTTTTTGTTTTTTCAGTGTGCATATTTCTTTTTTTTTTTTTTTTAATTTTTTTTTTAATTTTATTTTTTTTTATAAACATATAATATATTTTTATCCCCAGGGGTACAGGTCTGTGAATCGCCAGGTTTACACTCAGTGTGCATATTTCTATTAGGTAGTCCTTCATGACTTCCAGGAATTTTTATTTTTTTATAGATTAAAAACATTCTTATGGCTTTTTTCACTTCTATAGTACTTAATATACATATAAGTCTCAAATTTTAATATAAATTTATACTTTTATGAATGTCCCTTTGTGTCCTATTTTTTTCCATGTTGAGGTCTGAAAACTGTTGAATATATTTGAATATATTCTATTCATCTAAGTTTTAAATGTTACTTTTAAAAAAGTGTCTTTAGGGGCATTTGAGTGGCACAGCTGATTAAGTGTCCAACTCTTGGTTTCAGCTCAGGTCATGATCTCAGGCTGCTCAGACTGAGCCCTCCGTTAGGCTCTGTCTCAGTACAGAGTCAGCTTGACTGCACCCCGCCCCCCCACTCTCTCGCTCAAATAAATAAATCTTTCCCAAAAAATGAAAAATGCTTTTAATCCAACTCAAATATATTTGTTTATGGTTTGAAGTAGAGATCCAGATTTATTATTTTTTTTAAAGATTTTATTTATTTATCCGACAGAGAGAAAGAGAGATCACAAGTAGGCAGAGAGGCAGGCAGAGAGAGAGAGGGAAGCAGACTCCCCGTTCAGCAGAGAGCCCGACGTGGGGCTCGACCCCAGGACCCTGAGATCACGACCTGTGCTGAAGGCAGAGGCTTAACCCACTGAGCCACCCAGGCGCCCCCAGATTTATTTTTTTCCCAAGTGGATAATCAATCATAATTCTACAAAAAGTCACTCCTTTTGCTACAATTTACAATAACAGAACTTAAGTTTCCATATATAAGGATCTCTTCAAGTCTGATTTTTTTTTTTTTTAAGATTTTATTTATTTATTTGACAGACAGAGATCACAAGTAGGCAGAGAGGCAGGCAGAGAGAGAGAGGAGGAAGCAGGCTCCCCGCCGAGCAGGGAGCCCGATGCGGGGCTCGATCCCAGGACCCTGGGATCATGACCTGAGCTGAAGGCAGAGGCTTTAACCCACTGAGCCACCCAGGCGCCCCTCTTCAAGTCTGATTTAAAGAAATGACAACATTTAGCATTTAATGTGCCCCTGACATGTATCAGGAACTATACTAAGCATTTTAAATGGTTATATCATGCACTCTGGAGTCTGAATGGGCCTACCTGTCCCCTAGAGAGCCCTGATGGATGGTAGGCCTTACTGTGACTTTTTTGTTTACTTGCTGATAGAGATAGGTCATCAGGTGAAATTCCTAAAGATGCTGATGGACACACACAAACCAAATATATAACTTGCTTTTATTAAAAGGGGGGGAGCGTGGAGGAGGGTAGAAGTCAACACATTTTCTGAAAAGGCAGATATCCCAAGAGCTTTAGTGAAAACCAACGTAATATCAATTTGTATGACCAAGCTTTTAGAATAAAAGAGTGATTAGATTCTTAAAGTAGGACTAGAACATGAATGAGCCCTAGATCCCAGTACAGTTATAAGCCAACAGATTAGGCATTGTTTTGCTTAACAGTTTTAGCTTTAATGTAAATATATATTATTATTTAGAATATTAGCATCTGAACTACATAAAGACTTTATCATTTTACTTTAATTAAAACCAGGACTTATGGAACCACCAAGTAGCCTTTGAAGTTTTCCAATATGGACATGGACTAATCCCCACCTATTCTTTGCTGCATATCAAAAGTGAAATAATTGTCACAATAGATCAACATTGTCATAAGGTGATTTCTAAGGCTTCTGGCACATAAATGTATAATATCTGTGTGACAACAATGTCATGATTATATAAAAAATATTTAAAATATTCCTTGTGCAACTTAAGTCCTAAAGATTAAAAAAGCAAATGTTCCATATTAATATCAAAATACTATGAGCTTCCCATAAATTTGACATTGATTTTGTAATTACACGAAGAACACATAAGACTTGCTCACTAAATGATTCATCATTTTAATTAACTGTTGAACCAAATATACTTATTTGGTATTAGTTCTCTATAGTATACTTTCAGCCAAAACAGACTTTAATATAACTTAAAAACATTTCCAATTAAACTGTAACATTGAGGCAGCAAAGGTCAGATCTATGTTTGCCTACCTCTTTATGTGTCACACAAATATAAGTCTATGAATCTCAATTTATCCTTTTGTCTAAGTCACCACGGTAGAGAATGTGTAAATGAAATCAACAAAAGGTGACCATTTCTCATGTGAAAGAAAATGAAAGTCATTAACACCTTGTCTTAAAGTTCTAAAGCAGCATATTCAACTTTTAAGGCCATAAAAAAAAAGGGCCAAAAATATCATAACTTATAAATTCTGTAATTCTTCTTGTGGCATTAAAAGCCACAGCACAAATTCTTACACTTTAATAGACAATATATTAGTGTACATCTGAATATACATTTGCCAACATTCTCCATTAGGATGAAGGTGTTCTTGAAATAGAGGTGATGAAGTGCATTATCACAGGCAACATTTAATGACCATCTTGGTCATCAGGTGACATGGAATGGCTGAGTCTTGACCTTCCATTCACAGATATTGTATTTGATGGAACAGTGACCTAAGAGAAAGAAACACATTTTGCAGCCATCCATTTAAAATGGAAAAGCTATCTAATATTCAGTAATTACCACACTTTAACTTCTGCTTAATTGTAAATGAGAATATTTAGCATTTAGTATTCAATAAATCACAAATAATCAAGAAGAAATGTTCACTCTACCATAAAATTAAAAATGAGAGAGTTGTTATTTCCACAACAAACAAGTTAAATAATCCATTAATACATCTTAGTCTTTACAAAATTACCAAATCAACTCAAAGGACAAGAGCACAAACAGACTGCAGGCCAAGCTGTTGAAAAGCATTTTTTGCTAAATCAATTCTGGCTCCCCAAAAGTGCTTTGGAGAATGTAGAAAAATAAAGTGAATTCCACAAAGCAAAGAATTTTACAAATTCTAAAATTGTATTGGTGATCTATAGTAACATGAAGTTCCCCTCCCAGGTACCCCTTATTTATAAGAAAATACAGCTTTTGTTTTTAATATGTTTTCATATAGGGATGCCTGGGTGGCTAAGTTGGGTAAGTGTTTGCCTGCAGCTTAGGTCATGATCCCAGGGTCCTGGGATGATAGAGCTCTGCATTGGGCTCCCTGCTCAGCGGGAGAGTCCACTTCTCCCTCTACCTTCCCCTGTTCGTGTTCTCTCACTCTCAAAAAATCAGAGGGGGAGACAAACCATGAGAGACTGTGGACTCTGAAAAACAAACTAAGGGTTTTCAAGGGGAGGAGGGTGGGGGTTTGGGTGAGCCTGGTGATGGGTATTATGGAGGGCACTACTGCATGGAGCACTGGGTGTGGTGCATAAACAATGAATTTTGGAACACTTGAAAAGAAATAAAATAAAAATGAAAAAAAATGCTTTCATATAAAGGGCTAAAAGAGTCAAATCTAGGACTATTATGCCAAAATAATTGCAGAATGAATGAAAAGTAGTTTTTTTCTCCCAATAAACTCCTAAGTAGCTTGAAATTCCAAATTATTTAGAACATTTTTAAAAAGACATATGCATTCTGGACAGTTAATAGGTATAATATTTTGAAATATTATACATAAAATAAGACAATATTTTAAGAAAAATTGTTAATCTTTATATTACAATTTGGCTAGTGTAGATTCTTAAACGAACATTATCATCTTCTCCCAAGAAGAAAACTGAAGTACAAGAGGCCATAGATTCTGCTTAGCAACAGAGTATGTTAGTGAAAAGGAAAATAAAATGGGCAAATTTAGTTTGGATTTGATTTCCTTGTGCTTTTCTGCCTTTTATTAAACAAAAATTGATCATCTAAACTAATCAACTTTCTTGACTGTCTATGAATCCAGAACGTAGTAGAGTGTTGACACTATCCACCTGAAAAAAAACAAACAAAAAACAAAACAAAACACAAAAGAAAAGTTGCCACCAGAAGAAGGAAAGCTCATCTGCATTTTGTTTAGTATTCCTGTGGGATTCCTTTCAATGAACAGCAAACAGGTAATGACTTTTCATTATGTAACTTTGGTCTGAAAAGTTTCAGTGTGTAGGAATTATTTTTGTAATAACTGCCAAAATTGCAGTTCTCATAACTCTTTGTAAAGTAAAAGAAATTTTGTTTTAAACGTTTAAAAAACACACTGATGACTCTAATACAAGTTAAGAGATGTTTTTGTAGCACCATTTATAGACTGGAAAAACCAGAATCCAGTTAAATGTAAGGAACAACTAAACCATGGTTCATTCATAGAGTCAAATACTATGTAGTCTTAAAAGAATTGTGTGTGTGTGTGTGTGTGTGTGTGTGTATAATAAGATGGAAAACTTCAAAGAGATATTCATGAATGTTTTACAGGATTCTATTTTTGTAGGTATGTAAATGCATTTACATACTACAAAAGTGTTCTGGAAGGTTTCACAATAATCTATCATGAGCAGTTACTTTGGGGGGATGGTATTTTGTTTGATATTTAGAATTTTGTATACTAAACTTTCAAGCATGAGAAGACATTATAGACTAGTTCATAAGTTTTGTGAGATCAGAAACCTTGTCTATTTTAATGCCCCATTATACGTGTGTTTATTTTAGTGCCTAGCACAGTGTAGGATCAATGGATATTTCTTGAATGGAATACAGTAACTTTTTATAAACATTATAAAGTAAAAAGGTACTGCTTGAGTTTTTTGAATAATGAACATGATACAATAAAGATATTTTTTAAAGAACATTAACAAATTTACTGATAAGAGCATCTGCTAGTTGACTGTCTACCCTTTAAAGACTTTTCAGGAATATTCACGTAGCTTTCTTATTCTTATGAGAAGCATTAACTATGAAACTATCATTTATTTTTAATTTAAAAATATAGAGAAAGAAGTGCCAACCTGAAGCCTTTAGACTGTTCAAATTCCAATCAAGGAAATAAGAATAAAAAGCAGACTAATTAAACAAATAAAACAAGCCAGCAAGATTCTGGGTGTCTTATCCAGTTTTTTTCTTCCTTCCAGATTTCCATGTAGCCAAAGATAAATTTTGTATTCTGAAGGAATGGTTAATATCAACCACTAAATACCATTTGTCAGTGTATTTTCAGACTTTATTTTTACAAACCTATATTCTACTTGTAATGACCTTTAGTAACTGAAGCATCATCAAGAACCGAGAGCAGCCAGAGAAGCTCTTTTATCAACACAAGTCAGAGATAATAGGTTCCTTAATCTCTTATTCTCTGAAAACAATTTGCTGATTCACATATAAATCTTAACACCAAACGCATATTGTCAAATTCTGAACCGGATTTACCGAAACTTTGTAAGAAGACAATACAGATCTCTGTGACTACACTGGGGTCAAATAGGGGTAAGGTGTGGAGAAAATCTGAAGAAATATGGAAAAACGTGGCATGTTCATGACTACATTTACAGTAAAGCAGTCAACTAGATAATTGTTCTAATATGAACCAATTATTATAATGAAGGTTAATTACTTGGGTATGAACCAGAGCCATAAGGCAGGTTGGTACCTGGAGTTAAACTGAACATTTGGGAGCCAAAATATAGGCAAACCTGGAGCCAACTTTCTGATGAACAATGTAAACCTCCTGTCAAAATCACTGAAGATTTTCTTTGGCACTCTCACTGTTGTTCTATAAAAGAAATGTTAGAATTTAAAACAAACCAGGAGAAATGTTCAGCACAGGACAGAAATAAGGGACTTAAGCAAAGATCACAAGGAATTAGAGCCTTCCTGTGCCCATTTCTATTTCCTTTTGCAGTATAATGTTTTTTGAAATATAATACGCATACAGAAAAGTGCCCTGAACGTAAACAAACAACCCAATGAAAACAAACACAAACATATATATAATCCAGCACCTAGGCCAAGAAAAGAATAGCTCCAGCTCCCTACTGAGCTTGTCTTTAAAATGTTGACATTTTCTCTATCACTAAATGTCTATCATGTAGACATTTTAAAAATACTGCATTAATATTTATCTTGATTACTTATATTTTTGGTTCCCTCTTAAATTGTGTGCCTGTCTTGCTCCCACGAGCCACCAGTAACCCCTTTTCTTTCCGTGTGGAAGTAACCCTATCATGATTTCTATAATTACTTCCTCACTTTTAAAAATAATTGCCACCTACGCATGCTGTTGAACTTTACACATATATATTTTTATAGGTCTTTACACTGTTGTGTTTAGCTGCATTTTGCCCAATTAATTGCTGTTTGATAGTCCATTCTTTGAATATACTATTTATCCTCTTTTTGGATATTAAGGTTATATTTATTTGGAGCTGTTACAAACAATATTTCATGAATATTCTTATATGTGAGTCCCGGCACACAACACACACCCTGTTCGGGTATATAATTAGAAGCAGAAATACTGATCATGGAGTGTGGATATCATTCACTTTACTTGACCTTGTGTCCATTTTCAGTGGGATAAAATGGATTAAGTAAAGAATTTTCATTAAACAGAATTTAGGAACTGGCACTCTAAGACTCCGAGCTATCGATAATATCCTACTGAAAGAGATAAAATTTAGCCTCGATAGAACCTAAAGTAGTGAGTTATAAACAGGGTACAATTATAGGATCATCATTTAGGGCCTGCTTTCTATGCTGATTCACATCCAGCTCATTCTGGAAGCAATGAGAGTTTTATAAGTGAAGAGACTGCCAATTCAGAGCCCAGAACACCAAGCACACAGCTGCTTGCCTGTACAATTCTGTTAGCCGAAAAGACATTCCCAGCTTCAAGCACTGTTTTCTGCGACGTAGCCATTGAAACGGGTTACTGTATCCAGTGACTTTAGTACAAAGGTACTGCAACGATTTTCTGTGTAGTTCCTTGGTTCTCCCCTGGACCCGATATACCACTGCTATTCAGTCTCAGGCTGTCAACACCCAGAAGGCAGAGGCTTCATTTTATTCATCTTCCTCTCCCCAGTATCTACTACAGTGGGTTTTTTAAATTTTGTTTTGTTTTTGTTTCTTTTTAGTTTGGGTAATTTTTTTTTTAATTGAATTCTTTTTTTCAGTGTTCCAAAATTCACTGTTTCATACTTTTGTGCTTAAAAAATGGTTATCAAGGGATGCCTGGGTGGCTCAGTGGGTTAAGCCTCTGCCTTCAGCTCGGGTCATGATCTCAGGGTCCTGGGATGGAGCCCAGCATCGGGCTCTCTGCTCGGCAGGGAGCCTGCGTCCCCCCCCCCCCCACCGCCTGCCTCTCTGCCTGCTTGTGATCTCTCTGTCTGTCAGATAAATAAATAAAATCTTTACGAAAAAAAAAATGCTTATCAAGTGTACTGAACTGAGAAAGCTTTAAATCAGAAGTGATGGATTTGAAACTCAACCTTAATTTAAAAGATTAGAAAGAGAAATATTTCCCTAAGTGAGAATGTACAATTTATTTGCAGGGGCCTATTTCCCCATAAAAATATAACTGTGATGACCTGTGAAATACTAGTTTTAATATTCAAAACCACTTTTTTTGTTTTTTTGCCACCTGGCATCTAAATTCAGACTCTACAAATACCTGATAAAATTCAAACCTAGTCCCCTGAATCACCCCTTCACGTTTTCCTCCACTCCTGACAGCAGGCAGTATTTTGCCCCATCTTCCTGCTTGCCCAATTGGGAGTGCCAAGCTCTACGTGAAAACAGCAGTCACTCATGGCTCCGCTGAAACACAGGGAGAAAAGTGGCTAGCGTAAGCAGGGCCGGCCGTGGAGATGTGCCCGAGATGCCCTCCCCTTTCTTTCTCTCTCTGCAGCATTCCTGTCCCTTCGCAGATTTCATCTCTGTTGAGCTCAGTGTTTTGCTGAACAAATCTCTTACTCTTCTCTAAATAGCTTCTAAAATGATTAGAGAAGGAATTCACAAAACGAAATGCCTAGGGAGTCAGGGGAATAATGAGTACTTTTCTTGTCTTGGGTGTTGAGGAACTTGCAACCAAGACAACTAAGGGGAGAACAAGAAAGACATTTAGGGAGACGACAGTCTCTGGGAAGTCTGTTATGATGCGAGGCTCCAGGCTTCACCACGTGCATCCTTTCTGAGTGGGTGAAAGTGACAGAGGGAGGAAACTCACCTACAAATAATTTGCTGTAATGTTTCTTTGGCATTTGCTCCAAAGAGAGGTAAACCAGGAGACCTGAAGTTCTCTTGCACCTCAGTAAAGAGGAGCGAGCCACTCGGGCAGGCCACTATTAGATCAGAGTTTCTATATTCGATGTCATCTAAATTCCTTAGGTTTTTCCTACACTTTTTTTTTTTTAATATTTTATTTATTTATTTGACAGAGATCACAAGTAGGCAGAGAGGCAGACAGAGAGGGGGAGAGAGAGAGAGAGAGAGAGAGGGAAGCAGGCTCTTGGCTGAGCAGAGAGCCCGATGCGGGACTCGATCCCAGGACCCTGAGATCATGACCTGAGCCGAAAGCAGCGGCTTAACCCACTGAGCCACCCAGGCGCCCTTCCCTACACTTTTTGTCTAACCTATAAAACAACACCCACCCCCACCCAATCCCCTGCATAGGGCAGTGAACTTTGATCACCGTGGGAGCTAGGACTGAAACCTTGCAGGTTCTTATATTGCTGGTGCAGCTTTTCTAGATTAAGGAGGGATTTTCTTTCTGAAAGAATTTTTTTCTTACTGTGCTGATATAATTTGTAAAGTAAGAGTCCAGGGTACTTTCTATGTAAAGTCATATAATAATGAGCAAAACCCATGTCCTGCACCTGGCCCGTGGTGTGGAAAATAGACCGGACATATTTTTAAGTATGTGTAAGACTCTGGACTCTTTCAGCTTGTACTTCAAAAATGACCCTTGACATCAAAGAGTAACTTCTGGCACCCGCCCTCTTCAGATTCAAAAGCCAGAAAACAACTTACCCTAAGTATTAGTTTGACAATGTTGAAAACAGACCCACTGCCACCCATTTGATAAAGAAAACTTACCCTTTTCAATTTGGCAGCAGCCTCTCCAGAACGGATCGCAGTCAGCAAACTCTGTCGGATCTGTTCTGGGTCAGAGCTTTGGAATGTTAAAGAACTTTGTCTCTTAAGAATGAACGATGGGCAGTCAGTTGGAGATGGTATTTGGGAATTCTGTTCATTGTGTGCAGAGTTATTTCCCTATAAAAATAAATGCAAAATATTTATATGAATACCAAGTGAAGAATGAGTCATTTTTTAAAAAAATGTCATCATCAATATTCTTTAAAAATCACTATTTGCCACACTGGTGTTTCAGACATAGCTTAGTTTCCTTGCCCACTGAATTATCTCTGCTGCCAGAGCTCAGCTAGAAGATGAGGGTATTACTTTCTCTTGTCTTGAACTCATGAGGCTAAGGAAGAAAAGTGGTACATCTCTTTGCTGTAAGAATACAGTGGTAATTTTACTATCCTTAAGTCAAATGATGCTGATTTTGCCAGTGAGAATTGGCTAGAAGAGCTAAATTAAGAATAATAAAAATTCCACAGACTAAAAAAAAAAAAAAACAACACACTTTTATAGTTACAACATAATACGTTATGAAATTATCACTTTTGACAGAACAAAATGGACAAATTGACAATTTTATATTGGCTGAATCTAACATATCTTCTAATAAAAGAATATTAATGACTGTGCTACATGTAACAGCTTATTTTGTGTTTCTGGAAGTCACAGGGGCTAAATGATGACCATGTTTTATTTTTCCCATGAACTAAAAATAAGTATTAGGAATCTCCAAATTTAAGAATCAGAAATTTAATTAAGCTTCTTAGGAAGGAATATTTAGTAACTGATTTAACTTGGAACTATTATCAAATAATCTTAAAAAATGTCTTTTTTAAACTGCCAAACATCTTTACGAAAGATGAACTAAACGGAGTTCAGGCATGACTCAAAAACTGTATTATCTAAATCAAACTTCTGTTGTTTAGTAATGGCATTCCATCCTAAGAAGAAACACAGGCTTTGTTCCCAAGTAAAGAATTAATCTCTATATCATATATCTCTTCCTGACATTATATCAAAGTGAAGAAACATAAATGTGAAATATACAAAGAAACATCCTTCGAGATGAATATTGCTTTGAGACTATGGAAAAAATCTTTACTTGGCAGTGTGGTTAATGTTCTATTACTCTAGGAATGTTTGAATAGTACTGTAAAATACTTCTGGAACTGTCACACAAATCTGAATGTATTCTTTAAACACTATCAGAGTAAAGGTACACAAAATATTTTTTAACTTGCAAGGGGATTATTGTAATTCATACTGTAAATGTCATCCTTTCCTCTGACTATATTATTTGAATCTACCAAATTATAACACTCAGTTGACCAAACATGAAGTCAACAAATGTCCCTTTTTATGTCAGTTATTAAGGTTAGACAGTGGTTAAATGATATTTTAGTCAATATACCAGTAACTGGTAAAGTTGACACTGAATTAACAAAAATGGGAAATTAAGAAAATTACATATTTAAACTCTGGTTTTAGCTTAAGTTATTTCAATGTATCAGTGTTTGGTAACTGAGGTTGAGTGTGTGTGATTGAAAATGTCTAGCTGGGAAATGTTTGGTTATTTTATCTAGTCTATAAATACTGCTTATGTTTCTATATAATTAAAACTATCTATTTTGCCACTATGTAGAATTGGAGAAGAAAAGAAACCAGAAAATCCAGAAAAGTTGTAAACAAACTGAGAAAAGCAAAACAGGAAAATAGAGTCAGAACTATAAAGCAGTAAGCTATGCAAATGTAGGAGCGAAGAAACTTTAAATTACAGTATTTGCTAATGATACAATTATAGAATGATAACCTTTATAGTACTACCCAATCATGTTAAATTGATAGTAACTCCAAGAGTAAATAATCAGATTTTATGTGTTTACTACTCTTTTTTTTTCCTGATGGTAGCTTGCTATTAGATTAACAGGAATTCAAAATTAAGTAACAGACAAACACAACACGCTTGTCGACCCTCATTTAAACCAGGCTGTATTGGAATCCCTTATTTTTAAAACGGTCACCTTACCTCCTCACTCACACACAGCTGTGGGATGCCCACAACCTGACGTTCAGAAGGAGACTTCCCTTCTTCTGCGTCAGGTGGAGGGTGGGCGGCCGCACCCTCGCCGCTCGGCTCTGGGCGCACTTTGCTGAGAGACTGGGACCGTTTCACCACAGCAAGGGCAAAGGGAGACGGAGCAGAGCTCACGTAAGGTCTCGGGGCCCCAAAAGTTTTCAAAGTCTTCAGATTTAGTGCTGCTAATTGACTGTCCAGAAGAGGAGCAGGTTTTGGAGCTCCGGGAGGAGGAGAGGTTTCAGTGGGCTTCTGGCTGCTGCTGCCATCCTGAGGGTTTTTCATACGGGGCTGTGGAAGGGCTGGAGCTGTCTTACTTAAGGGAGAAAGAGTTTGCTCCTCCGGAGGTGGTATCGCATCCCTTTCCCCCTCTTTCTTTAGTAGTTCTTTTGGAGTGGGGTTAGGGGCCACGTGGACACTCCTGGCAGCTGCAGATGTCACATACTGACCTGAAACTCTTTTTTGCATCTGCAGGAAAAAAGAACTTGGTTTGGTCTGGGGATTTGAAACCCGAGATTTAAGTTTTGACTCCAAAATATTGTTTATATCTTCCAAATTCGGCACAAAAGGAGCTGTACCAGTGTCTTTCGTCGTTCTGGGAGGAGGCTTCAGAGGATTTCCCATGGCGAGGTGGGGTGAGCTCTCCACGCTGTGCACTAGATGCCCTGTTCTTGGGGGAGGCTTCAGCTGAACGTCTGCCTGTGGCACCTTTGGGCTTTCAGAAATAACAAAATCTTCTGTTTGGATTGCAGTTTCTTTCAAACTCTCATGAATGTGCTTTCTTCCTAAAGGATGTATCTCCTGATCATCTTTATCCCCAGTGGTTTCTGATTCCCAATTTTTCAATATCTCCAGGGATTTGGGAGGCACAATTTTATAAGTAGTCATTCCAATTTTGGGTATGTAGTCTCTCGTTATTTCATTTGAAGGTTTTGGCTTGGGATCATAGTCCTGTCTATAAAGTGGATAATTCTTCACATGAGAAATAGCTGAATCCTTATCAATCCCATCTATAGGAAGCAAAAGATCATCATTACCGTGTGAACCAACTGGACCTTTGATGGGAAGTTGATTTTCTGAATGTACATTTAGGGGGCCCTGACTCCTGAATGTTCCTGAGGCATCTACAGCATCCTGGGGACTTGAAGAGGAAGGCCGAGTTGATTTATTGTTACTTGGAGTTTGCACACTTTCATTAACTTGGAAATCCGACAAATCATGATCTCGGTGGTTCCCGTCAGAGTTGTCAGTGGAAGGGATGGTCTGAATGGCTGCATCCTGCATTTTGGTCTTTTCTTCACTGGGTTGATTCAGTTTTGGGTCCTGTACTATTGAAGCAGCCAGGTGATCCTCCTTGTAACTGCCAGCAGTATCAGTTTTATGCGCTTGATAGTCTGAGAGTCTGTCAACTTCCGTGTCCACATTGTTACTTTTGGCAACGCCTCCTACGTTGATTATTGTTCTCCTCACTCCATTTTTCATATGATCTTCTGTGTTTGGTGTAGTGACAATTCTTTCATTTTGATCCACTGAGAGAAAAAATATTGTCAAGTCAAATGTGAACAAAGGAGAAAAACCTCAAGTTTTCAATGCCTGCCTTCCCCAAACTGAAATACATTGGTTTGAATTCTACAGATAATTTTCAGCTCACTAATGATACAAAAGCAGGTAAGAGCATCAGGAAAAACAGCTTGGACTTTGGTATCATAGAAACCTGAGTCTAGAACCCAGCTGGACTTATATGTTACTTAACCCCTTTGAGCCAAACCCAGCTTCCTCAGATGTAAAAAGGTGAAAATATGTATTATATTTTATATGTCATTTATGTAACATGCTAATTAGGATAGGATATTCCCCAGAACAAAAAGAAACATGCATGCAAGAGAAAAAAATTATGTTGCCAGGTAAATTTGTATATGAACATACCTTCATCTTTGTACACCCTACCTAATTGCTTGTTTTTTTTTGGTCCTGGTTGTTAAATTTTCTATTATGTTGCAATGTTCTTAAATTAAATATCTAATTTTCAAATGAACTTCATTTTTATTCTTCCTTAAAAAAATGCAACTGATTTGCAGAATATTTGTTTTCTATACAAGTGACCTCTCAATGACTCATAATTATTAACTTTTGTGACACATTTGATTAAGATTCATGAAAAAGACACATTTCTGCCTATCTTGTTTTTTTACTTGGTTTGTAAGTATTTTTAATATCTATATGAAAAGTGCTATTGTCAACACCTCTATAAGCACAAAAGAAATGGTCCCTGGTACTAGGGAATGAATGTAAATGTATTCCCTTCTTTCTTGCCTATTTCTCATTTTGAGTGAATATAGGTATAGCCCAGTTACACAACAGAAATATTTTCCAAAACAAAGTAAATCAACATATTTTAAATTCATTTCCCTACAAGTCCTAACTAATTGCTTTTGGAACTCCAAATGTCTATTTTTCACTATTCACCAATTCTGAATTTCTCATCAAAATCTCACAGTTATTCCCAATGACAGGACTGGAAACCTGGAATCACTGCTGAATTTAGTAGCTAATCCATCCCCATACATACCTGATAATGACACCAACCAAATGTCAACGAATGGTTAGGTCATTTTCCAATGATAGCCAGTAGAAGGAAAAGGTAAATTTTGTACTATCCTTTCCTTCCCCTACTCAAAACTGACAACAACATCTACAAAATGAATCACCTGTCAGAAGAATGATTGAAACAAGTATATAGTGTAGATAAAAAAGGAAGAAAACTATAAAACTTTTTAAGATAATAGAAATAATTTATTTTAAAAATTGCCTAAATACTTTAATTTTAAAAAACAGGGAAAAAAAAACCCACCTAGAGTCAACAGAGGTCATTGCAAATCAAATGTAAACCAAAAAAATATCATTCTAGAAATATGCCTGTGACCCTAGCACTAACTTGATGCCAAAATCTTAGCTAAAATGATCCATCATTTTTAAAAGAAGGAAGCAGCATGATTTCTCAGTAAACTTCTATTGGCCATCAGAATGTATGTTGTGAAGAACTGAATCAAGAGGAAAAGGACGGGGAAATTATATACTTTTAGAACTTCTCAGTATTCTATCTCAGGATGGTACTGACCATGGGGAAAATGAACCAGAGACCTATTTGAAATAACCAACACATCCTACATAGGTAAAACAACATATAGCTACATCAGTCTATCCACTTGTGACACTGGAATAATCCACATTTTATCCAAATATGAATATGTATATGCCTATGTTTTCTAAGAATCTTCACCTAGTTTTGCATATTAGTAGACTGGACTATGAGAATTCATAAGCAAATTCCTTCATATCTTCTTAAAATACCATTGTTCATTCCTCGCATCTTCTATTTGTGTAGTGTCATTTTTCTGAACTTCAACCTTAAGTACAGATCTTCCTCAACTAATGATAGGGTTACATTGTCACCTAGTCCATCATAACTTGAAAATATTGTTAAGTCAAATGCATTTAGTACATCTAAGCTACAGAATATTACAGAATACTATACTACTTTAAATGTGTTCAAAACACATTAGCCTACAGTTGGACAAAATCATTCTCTCACAGAGCCTCTTCTATAGTAAAGGGTTGAGTATCTCATGTAACTTATTAACTACTGTACTGAAAGTGAACAACAGAATGGTGGCAGGTGTGAGGGCTCTTACCATTGGAAGGCTGACTGGGAGCCAGAGCTGCTGATGCCTAGCATTGTGCGAGAGTATCACACAGCACATTGCTAGCCCAGGAAAATGCCAAAATTCAGAATTCAAAGTACAGTTTCTATGGAATGTGTATCACTTTCACACCATTGTTAAGTCAAAAAAAAGAAATCTTAAGTTGATGACTTGTATATTTTAACAATAGGTCAGTATTCTACTAGGTGCTATGAGGAATTCAAAGTATTGGATGTAATTTCTCTGATCCAAAAGACTGCCCAATCTGGTTGAGCAGACAAGACCTTTTAGAGAAATACATGGCTTCTAGTAAGCAAGTAACAAAATTAGTGAAGTGACAGGATTTGGTGGATAGTTGAATGAATGGGTGAAATCATATGTCTTGCAAAGAAAAAAAAAATGAGCATAGTCCTAAAGACAGAATGGAGTGAAATATATCATAACAAGGCAAAGAAACATCTTGACTTGGGGGTTGGGGTGTGGAAGATACTGCTGAATAACATCACATAATTAGAGGTCAACATTACGTAATTAGATTAAAAATCATGCAGACAAGTTTCACCTAAGTAAAACAGTTTTGGACTTCGGAGTCAGTAAAAAGAAAAAAAAGGGAAATAGATCACAAATGGATGCACAGAGTATACATCTTTAAGATCCAAGATCTAGGTTAAACAACGTCTAAGATTTAACAACAAAAATAATACACACAGTAGTTAATAGCACTCGTGACAGTAATATTGCCTGAGTTCAAATCCAGGGTCCACTACTTACTAATTACGGGGACCTTTGTGAATTACATAGCATCACGTGGTTCAATGAACCATAAAGTGGAAGTGAAAATAGTGAGACCTGTAAATGAGTTAATATACAAGATTAAATGAGTTAATGTATATAAAGTTTTAAGAATGGCCCTTTGGCATACAGTAAGTGCTCTGAAAATGTTGGCTATTAGTGTTTATGGAACTCACCATTCTCCTGGTATGGGCCCAATGACTTCAAGTTTCTTACACTGTCAACTACCCTCTCTTCACTGCTTGCGTCATATACCATTATGTGTGGCCCTCTGCAAAACAGGATATTGTATGTTACATACTGATACTATATAAACACACACACACACACACACACACATATACATGTGCACGCGCCAGATGAGAAAAGAGGCAATAATTTCCAAAGACAGATGGATTGAAATAATCATCTTTCTTCTGCCAAATACTGGAAATTTAATAACAAAGAAAAAATACAACTGAGAGGAAATGCTGCTATGAACCATTAGCTTTCAAAGAGTGGTCCTATTATAAGGAAGGATCTAAGAAGCTTGGTAAAATGGATACTTTTCCAAAAACAGTGTCTTTCTGTTATTATTATTTGTCTTTTAAAGAAAAAGGAAACTGAATGAAATATTTAAGTCTTTCATCTGACAAAGCCAACTTCTGGCAAATCAGGATGTGGGCTGACCTCAACTGTTTTTTTGTCTTATTTTTAGTGATAGAAGGGTTTAATTTGGTGACACTCCCATGAAAATTATAGTAAAACTTTGATGAAGATGGTTTACTTTGCTTACTTAATTTCATTTTTACTCATGATGTGGCATTTCTAGCACAATATAAGCATACTGTACTGTAGATTTCAATTCCTAGGGCCAAGTGGAAAGTGCTCTCTCCGCATTATAAAGTTGACTATAAAAATTAAATTAGTAACTTAACATCATAATCTAATATGCAGAATTGTTTTATACATCAGTGAAAATTCTTGAGAAGCATTTGGTGAAAATTAAAAATTAAATGTTTCATTTAGATCAAACAGAAAATAGGCAAAACCCATACAATACAAACAAACAGATACTTTTATATTTGAGTCACACAAATTAACTACATGCTATGGTTTGTCTCACACAGGGATACCAGAACTGTTGATTTTGATTTTAGTTAAAAACAAAACATGCAGGGCGCCTGGGTGGCTCAGTGGGTTAAACCGCTGCCTTCGGCTCAGGTCATGATCTCAGGGTCCTGGGATCGAGTCCCGCATCGGGCTCTCTGCTCAGCAGGAAGCCTGCTTCCTCCTCTCTCTCTCTCTCTCTGCCTGCCTCTCTGTCTACTTGTGATCTCTCTCTGTCAAATAAATAAATAAAAATCTTAAAAAAAAAATGCATATGGATATTTTATTAATAAGCATTCTGGTAATGATGGTGAACAGAGTCTAAACTAAAGAGACTACTATATTTGTGTTTATAACATCAGATCTATAATTCAGAGACTAGTACTCATCAAACAAACCATCACCGACACTTCCAGCAAATAGACTACTTACTGTCTATCTGTGTTTCTAGCTTCTTGTTTTTCTTCTTTGGAGTTCTGTGAGGACTCTCCAGTAACATTGCCAAGGGCTGAGTCAGGATCATTTTTCAGTGTATTTATTATATCAGTAGATCCAAAAGGAATAGCTTGTGACTTCAGAGAAATATTTTCAGTCTCATCTTTGGGCACTTCACTCAGTTCTTCCTTTTCATCTATCTCTTCAAGGCTATGATCAGAGCTTATTCCAGCTACAAAGAAATGAAGATATAATCCTAAATATTAATTTGCCTCATTCATCCTATGCAATCCCAGCAAGAAAGGAATTTTAAAAATAATAATTAGCTGGACTCTTAAATGCTCATCCAAAACTAATAAGAAAATAATCCTCTAATGATGAGTAATCTCATTAACATATAGTCAAATTATCTCGGACATATACAATTCTAAAAATAATATGCTATCATGCTAGGTTTTATTCATGGTAGAGAAAAAAGTTATTTAAACTCATAATCTTCAAGTTACATGTCTCAGTCTGAGAGATAGCTATGTATCTTTGAATTTAAATGATTTTACATTCATACAATAGCTCTAAATATTAATTAAAAGAACATGAGATTTTAAAATTTTATATCTATACAAGTATACTTATAAAATCTGACTCAGAAGTTATCAGAACTACAATGGAGAACTAACTATCTGAGTCCCTTTTAAAAATACCAGTGTTCTCACCCTCTTCACACCTGTTAAATCATAATCTCTGAAGGGTGGCACCAGGAATTTTTAAGGCTCCTAAGGTGATTCTAATACAAAACCAGAATTAAAAGCCATTTAGACACTTAATATACTTTTTGAAAATACAAATAAGTATTATACAATGAAAATTATTCCCACTCAGTTTCTCAGAGGCAACTTCCTTTAACAGGTTTTTCCTACATATTATCAGAAAGTATAATGAGCATACAAGCAGATACACATACTCATGCTTCCTTTTTTTTTATGGGTCCATTTAATATAAATGGAAGCATACTATAGCTGATGTTTTTCACCTTCTGTTTCTCCACTTAACTATGGCTGAAAAAATTATCCCGTATCAGTGTGTGTGTGTGTGTGTGTGTGTGTGAAAGAGTGATTCTCTTCAAAAGCTGCAGTTACTATTTCATTGTATAAGAATGAGTTTTGTCATTGTTCCTTTAGTACCAACAACAAATGTCCAACAGATTAAAAGAGGAGACATCCTAATTGGTATTCATACTAGCTGTGAAATGTAATTTAAACCAAAGAATGAGTCTCTGAATCTTTGCTTATTTAAGTATAATTTAACACTGCCATTTACACAATAGCAGCTGAACAAAATTTAATTTTACCACAATGGGGGAGGGGGATGGTGTAGCATTAGATTATAGTGATCAGCACATCCACAAAATTTAATAAAAACTTCAATGTACTTGAAGAATATTTAAAGTAATGTATGTCTTTAATTTTATCTCTAGGCAGAAAAGTATGCTATTTATGCTATTTAACAAACAAATATGGAGACTTTTATTGACAGTTTCATTGTGAGTAAAAAAAAGGAGATTACTCAACAGGAAAAATATTAAAGAATTTGAATTTAAATGAATTTTTTAAAAATATATTTTGGCAAGTCTTATTTTATTATGACATGTGAAAGCATCATTATGATACCAATGTGTAATATTATGTGCCTACAATAGCATATCATGTTTGTGCAGTAAGAGTACATTTATATAATTTGAAAACTGTGTTTGAGAAAATTAACGTCTGTTCCGGTTTAGATGCAAATGTGTTTTATAAATGGCCCCTTAGCATATCTTAAGCTCCTTACAAATTAGTTTAACTGAGGAAACGCTTAGCAAGTTATTGTTATCCCTATTTCTCTCTTGCCCATCAAAGCTATTTCATATAGGCGTCCTGGGTGGCTCAGTTTAGCATCTGACTCTTGATTTCAGCTCAGGTCACGTATCTCCGGGTCCTGGGATGAGCCCTGCCTTGGGGGGCACACTCAGCAGGGAGTCTGCTTGAGAGTCTCTCCTTCAACCCTCTGCCCCTCCCCCACCATTCCCCACTGGTGGGCACAGGCATGCATATGCTTTCTCTAATAAATCCTAAAAAAAAAAAAAAAGTACTTCAAACAACTTTTCTTTAAGTATGGGACCCCTCACTGAGAAACCAGTCTCAGTTAAAGAATGAGTTATGTATTTCAATAATCTTTTCAAATTATTTTTCTGAAATTTTATAACTTGGTAGTTATAAGCATCATATAGGTTTGCTTAAATATATATATATATATATATATATATATATATATATATATATTATTAGCTTGAAGAGTATTCCTATTCTTAAAAGTCTTAGGAAAGACTATGATTATTTTTAAAAATTCTAATAATCCAGGGCATCTGAGTGGCTCAGTGGGTTAAGCCTCTGCCTCCAGCTCAGGTCATGATCTCAGGGTCCTGGGATCGAGCCCCACATCGGGCTCTCTGCTCAGCAGGGAGCCTGCTTCCCCCCTCTCTGTCTGTCTACTTGTGATCTCTCTCTGTCAAATAAATAAAGTCTTTTAAAAAATAAAATAAAAAAAAATTAAAATTCTAATAATCCAAAAAACTTTCAGAGTTGGTTAGTTGACTAACATAAATTTCCCCAAGCTTCGAAAAATAAGAAATCAACTTTGTTTTGTATATGTTATATGATAGCCACATTTTAGGACAATAAAAAAAACTGGGTGAGGGCTGTGAACAATGAATAAATTCCACAAATAATGCAGCACAATGATCGTATTTCAGCTTCATAAGTTTTAAGGGAAGAATACTCACTTTCAAATAATACAGTGTTCAAAATCTTTGTAAAGTTTTAAGATTTGACAACTTCGAAAGTATAAATGTTTAAAAAATCACAAAAGTCGTCTTTTGAAAGTTTAATTATTACAATCACAATCAAGATAGAGAACAAGTCCATCGATCTCCAAAAACCCCAGGCCCTCTGGTGATCATCCCTTCCCCCTAAGTCTAGACCCTAGTTACTCTTTTCCCTATAGTTTCACCCTTGCAAGAATGTCATATGAATGAAATCATTCAACATCTAGCCATTTATGACTGGCTTCCCCATTTAACACAAGGCTTTTGAGATTCAGCCGTGTCACCGCATGTAGTATTCATTCCTTTGGATGGGTAGGTGGTAGCTTTCCAATGTACAGACTGACCATAGTTCATCCGTTCCTCAGTTTAGGGACATCGGGTTGTTTCCCACTTGGGGCAATTATGAATAAAAATCCTAAAATAATTTACATGTCAAGTATTTGTGTGCACAGAGGTTTTCATTTTTCTTGGAAAATCCCTAGGAGTGGGACTGCTGGGCTATACAGAAAAATGAATGCTTAAATTTTATTTTTAAAAATTTGTCGTGGTGCCTGGGTGGCTCAGTTGTTAAGCATCTGCCTTCGGCTCAAGTGATGATCCCAGGGTCCTGGGATCGAGCCCCACAGTGGGCTCCCTGTTCCACAGGGCGCCTACTTCTCTCTCCCTGACTCCCCCTGCTTGTGTTCCCTCTCTCATTGTCTGTCTCTGTCAAATAAATAAATAAAATCCTTAAAAAAAAATTATCAAACTATTTTCCAAACTGGCTGCACAATTTTGCATTACTTTAAGCAGTATGTGATATTAATTTTAAATGATTTTAAATAAGGACTCATTTTGAGTTAATAAAAAATTGAATAAAATTATTTATAATGAAATGCAAGTATTACCTAACTATAAATTTTTGCCATCTGGTAACAAAATAATTCCAATAATTTAATATAAAAATCCCAATCAAAAGCAATACTTCAGAAAGTAAGTCAGGACTAGATAACAAAAGAGTGGTCCAAGAAAGAAAAAAATTATATATTATATATATATATACATATATATATATTCTTTAATATTCATAAAATTGAACACTGAAAATAACAGAGTTCAGAGTTTTGCCCAAAAAAGCAGAAAGCCAAATAGAAGAAAAGCTGAAATCCTCCAGAACCACTTGTTTTATTCATCTTAGGCCTTGTCATATTCATCTGGTTAGGGAAAACATCATAACCTCCAAACCTGTAAGAGAATTTCAAGTGAAAGGAGGAAACTAATATTTCTTTGAGACCTTTTTACACAAGGGGTAACCAAGTAATGAAATGCTGACCTGGTGATAATCTTAATCTGCATTAAACCAAGCACCAGGCAGGAAAGGCCCAGCCACCTACATGTCAGAGATGTTACGGCCGTCTCTGGTGTTCCAGGGCATTCGGAGAGAGAGGGTTCATCCAGCAGTCTGGGCACGGTGCAGTGTTCGTGACTGGGGAGCCCGGGGCCAAGGAAGGAGTCTGCCAAAGAAGTAAAATCTGTGGAAACGGCACTATTCAACAGAGTTAAGGCAAGCAGAGAACAAGAAGCATTTCAAAGAAATCAGATCTGTTAGCTCACAATTATCCATGTGTTAAACGAGAAGAGCTAACAAGGGGGAGAAAAAAGGAAGAAAAAGAGAAATAGATACCAAGCAAAGTCTGAATAGCATTCACACCTCTTTTCTAATACTTTTGAATCTTCTCATTTCACTTATATGGTTTGATATTATTTAAATAAAATTCCTTTGTGGAACAAAAGGAATTTTTTTTTTTACTTTTTTTTTTTACTGTGAAGTTTTATTTGAGAACAACTTCAACATTTGAACATAAATACAAATATTACTTTAGGTTTTTTAATGAGGTTGGCAAATATATATAGATGGTTGGGCTCTTTTAAGATTTTGAACATGAAATATACCAGGATTATAGTTAACGGACATGTATTATGCTAACATGTACATTTCAAAGTTGAAAGATCTTATAGTACTTGGTTTAACATTAATTCAATTGACAAAGGATTTCTAAACAGCAAATTTAAACATGTTTTGAACTTTTCCAGAAAGTCAAGACATGCAAAATGTATTCCAAAAGGCAGACAGACAAAACATTAAAGACCATTATCTTTCGCAAATAAATTCTGCAAATACAGCAAATGAAGAGACTACAGCATGAATTAGTATTTTCAAAGGTGCTGGAGGTCCAGAAGCCTGAGGTATCATTGATATTATTCTGGGTAAGACTTAAGAAATAAGAAAAGTCACGACTAGTTATATAAGGATAATGTTTTTAATCACAGAGGACAGGAGAATTCTTATATAAGATGGGTCAAAATCTCAAATTCCTAAAAATCACCTAAGTATTTAAAGATTTAGGAGCATTTAGGTGCTCCTGAGCTTCTCCTGTGCTTATGAACATTAATTATAAAAATCAGATAGGGTTATATTGAGCAATTTTCATACCTATAAAATTATACCCATGCTAAAGTACTGACAGAGTAATATTCTATTTTTGGTTAGACATTAGTCTTTCATATTCATTTATAGCTAACATTAAGTCTAAGAATTAAGAAATTTTACCATATTTATTCTTATAATAGCTACTATTAAAACATAGGGAAACAGTATTAAGTTAATTTTTACTGGCATTTCATTTATTTAAAGAATCCAAAATGAGACCATATAATAGGAAATACTTCAAGATAACAAATTTTTACCACTTAACCAGGACACTATGTACATCAGATTCATACCTACGACAGTTGTGTAAACAATGGTACCTTACACACTGGTGTAAGTTTCTTCTGAACACACTAAGGTACATTCCTAACTAACATGTGTCATTCCTCTTGGGAAGGACATTAATAAGTGGTAACCTGACTTTGCATAAGGAAAGTTCTTATGGTACCATCACAGAACTAAAATTTTGAGTCCTGTCAGTTTCATACTCAACCCAGGGTGGAAATTTTTTCGTTTCAGAATATAAAATTTGGGAAAGAAGAGTCAAAGCATCTGTGTCTCCTTCACAGAGCATTATAACTAGATTCATTCCTCAACGACCTTGAAATGTCTTTTTCCAGGAACTACCTGACTTGGAGTAAAGGTGTCCTACCTGGGCTGGGCAGCCCCTCAGGGGAGTTTGTTTCCAAAACACCGTCCGAAGGAACTGCGCGTCCTGCCTGCAGGACTGGGAGACAGAAGCAGCACACCTTACAAACAAGTCACAGATGTAGCAATCCCTTAGTAGCTTAATTCATGTGTATGTAATTTGGGAAGAGATAGCCCTAACTTTGTTAGAAGCCATTTCACCACCCAGCTTTGAAGCAACTAAAATCAACTTAGCTCCCCCTTCCTACAGGGAGTCAATCCTGGAACGAGAGTGTCCTGAAGAGATTCACAGATGACCACACGCTCAATCTGAGGGTCAGGGAGCCATGCAATTTTTTTTTTATGTTGCATATTTTCAAAAGGTAGTTAAGTGAGAATAATCAGGGGCTATCTAAATATTAAAATTAATTAAAAAGCCTTAGTGTAAGTATCATCTTTTAGTAAGAAGACCTGATTTATAACCTCTATCACTTTACTGTCTGTCTAAAATAAGACCTAATGCACACGTAATGTTAATGGGAAAAGTCACGTTACCAGTGATGGGACTGTTGTCATCACTTTGATGCAGGGGTACTTTGGAGGGTGGGGAAGGCGCTTTTCGCTTTGTCCTTTTCAAAGATGAACTGCTGGCAGATGTGCTGCTGAGCTGCAGAGAGCCGGTCCTCACTATGCCTGCTCCACACGGGCTCTGGGAAACAAAATGACCAGACACAATCTCTGTTTAGAAATTAATAGCGAACTCCGGGAAGATCCTGACCTTTACATCGACTGCTTCATATGCCGAGATGCAACATAAGAGTCATTCCTTCAAAACACATTTAGGGAGCATCTGCCATGTGCCAGGAGCTGAGCTAGGACATGGAAACACAGCAAAATAAAATAGGGTCCTTCTCAAAAATCTTAGGCCAGGATGGAAGAATGGCATACGAATAACCAATTATCATGTGGAGGACTCATAAGCATAAGAGTGAAAAACTAGCTTCCAGAGAAAAATAGGGAGAAAATATGGATGTAGAGCAAGAGGCGAAAAGGGAAGAATGTATGTTAGAACAGCTGGCTCAATTAATCTTTCCTTTTTAGTACTAATGTATTAATGACAAACATCTCAAAAATTTATATGTCTACCCACGGCAAGGTCACTTGAGGTCACCTACTCTCTCCAGAGCCAACGTTCACACGCCTGGCATGTGACTGTCCGTGGACCTGCAGACAGGCCTGCCTCAGCGCCACCTGCTACTCCCTGGCGCACTGCCACGTCGTCTCACTCTTTCTCTTTATGACTGACCTGCTTCCAAGAGCTGTTCATAGTTTTTGTTTTTTTGTTTTTGTTTTTTTTTTTTCTCTCCAACTTCTCATCCCCCACAGGAACACTTCCAACCAGATATTTCCCAACTTTTGATCCAGTAAAATTATTCCTATCAAAGTCATCAATGATCACCACCACAACTAAACTAGTGGTTAATTCTTAGAACTCATTTATTTGATCTGTCTGTAGCACTCGACGGAATAGGCCACCCTCTCACAATTCTCTTTTTCTTACTCCAGATTACCACATTCCTACTCTGCACAGATCTCAATGCTCCATTTTCTTTTAGGGTTCCTTCTCATCTCAGTCCTTGGGTACACTCTCTTCAGTATCTATGTTCACTCGGTTGGTAATCTCCTTTATTCCCTTGGATTTATGTATTATTCATACGCCAATTAATTTCAAACTTGTGCCTCCATCCTGGACCCTTATCTGATCTCCACTTAAAATACCCAGACCTAATCCAGCAAGGAAAGACTTAAAACCTGCCACCCAAACCCAGATTGATTCAGTCCCTACAGCCAATTCTGATTAAACCTAAGGGCCATCCCTCACCCCCTATCCCCTCCAGAGTGGATGTGTACACAGATCCTTAATTGCTGTTTGGACTTTTGAAACAATCAGAAGAAGGACTCTTGGCAATAAAGGTCTGAGAAAGAAATGCACTATAACATACAGCTGGATGAGCAGTATTTAATTATCCTTTTGAGTAAAATATAAAGTTTTCTTCTTATTGATTAATGATATATCCCTGTGCTTGGAAACTTTCATTTGCTATCTTATAAAATTAACAAGTTGAGAAGTCATTAGGAAAAAGGCCAAAAATTCTTCTTAAACAATGCAACACTTCACTTTTCAAAATGATGATGTAACTATCAAAAGCTGTAGAATATGTCATTTTATTTCTCAGGTGAATTTACTCTATAAAGCCCTATCAAGGCACGACTCCTTTCTCTCACAGACCTACTTTACCAGTAAGAACACAGTTAGTGATCAATAAGTAACTGCTGAATGCACAAATTTGGGGCAGCACTTGATTTTCCTCCTACGTCCACGCTGAAAACTTGTGTCCCCTGCTTCGACTGATTGCTTTCATGAGGTTTAGGATGCAAACCTGTGTTCCTCTTCGAGCCAGATTCCCAATTACTGTCATTTATTGGTCTTTTCTATTACCTGATAAAAGCAGTCATGACTTGAATTAGTCACGAATTTTTCAAATGACAGTATCTTTGTACGAGTTAGAGCTCTTAAATTTTGGTCATAATAAAACATACCGTATAGAAACTAGAAGGGTGGAATTTATATGGCAGACTCCAAAGTTTATATGAACCTATCCATAACTCAAAGACAAAATAAAAATAGACTCACATATTTCACTTATGTCCCCAGAGGTCTTAAAAGAAGCAAACTTTTATTTTTGTACAGGATATTTATATTTCTATGGATAAAGAATTTAAAATTTGTCAAAATATACAGACTTTAGTTTTACTAAAACATTTTCAATAGCATTTATGAAGACAGCTGAGGGAAAAGCAGAGCAAAGACATGAACTTTTTGAAGGAGGACATCTTTTATAACTTTATCCTACAGAATTTAACTCCCTTGACACTGTTGTGCAGGTATAACATGAAAACAAATGGACATACACTATAGAGCTGCAATGGAACCACAGAGGCCAGGAAGGAAGACATTAAGATAGCATGATTGTCACTGAGTGGTACCAGAAAGATGCACGTGACCTGTCATAACTAGATTCCATGCTATAATTAATGGTTAAGACTTACTAAGTTTATGACAAAAGTGTAAATTTAACAACTTATGTAGGATAAGCAAAGGGCAGAAGTTTTCAGGGAATACGAACGATCAGTTTAGATAATCAGCTAAAAAGGAAAGGTAAGGTAAATAAAAATCAAAGTTGGGAGTTATTTTGTATTAAAACAAAACATCACTATTAAGACCAAAATAGAGGAGATCTTGGACCATGAGAAAGGGATGTCCTAGGGCACCTGGGTGGCTCAGTCGGTTAAACCTCTGCCTTCGGCCAGGTCGTGATCCCAGGGTCCTGGGATCAAACCCCACATCCGGCTCCCTGCTCAGCAGGGAGCCTGCTTCTCCCCCTCCCTTTGCTTCTCCCCCTACTTTTTGTGCTCCCTCTCCTCTGTCTCCCTCTGTGTCAAATAAATAAGATCTTTAAAAAAAAAAAAAAAAAAAAGGAGGGAGAGAGAAAGGGATGTTCTATATCTACTGCAAACGGTCTTTTCCTGAGTAAAAGCCCACTGGAAAAGAAGCAGCATTCGAGTTAGAAGATCTAGGTGTTCCTAAATAGACCGTAACCGAGAAAAGTGGTGTATACTGAAGAATGTGGGTGCAGTACATGCAGCCAGCATATAAGAGTAGAGAGCTCCTAACCCAAGAAGGACAACTTCTAGAAAGCAGATTCACTAAACCGCCACAGCTGCTTAAGTAAACACATCATGAGTTCCCATACAAAATGCTACGGCAAGGAAAGCAAAAATGAACTATATGGACTTCATAAAGATAAAAGGCTTCTGCACAGCAAAGGAAACAATCAACAAAACCAAAAGGTAACCTACAGAAAGCGAGAAGATATTTACAAATGATATATCTGATAAAGGGTTAGTATCCAAAATCTATGAAGAACTTATCAAGCTCAACACCCAAAAAAACAAATAATGCAGTTAAGAAATCGGCAAAGGAATGCCTGGGTGGATCAGTTAAGTGTCTGCCTTTGGTTCGGGTCATGATCCCAGGGTTCTGGAATTGAGCCCTGCAACAGTCTCCATGTTCAGTGGGGAGCCTGCTTCTCCCTCTGCCCCTCTCCCTGCTCATGCTTTCTCTCTCTATATATATATATCTCTCTCTCTGACAAATAATTAAAATCTTTGAAAAAAGAAATGGGAAGAAGATATGAATAGACATTTTTCCAAAGAAGGCATCCAGATGGCCAACAGACATGAAAAGATGCTCAACATCACTCATCATCAGGGAAATGCAAATCAAAACCACAATGAGATGGGTCAGAATGGCTAAAGTCAACAACACGGGGAACTGACGTTGGCGAGGATGCAGAGGAAGGGGAACACTCTTACGCTGTTGGTGGGAATGCAACCTGGTGCAGCCACCCTGGGAAACAGTATGGATGGTCCTCAAAAAGTTACAAATAGAGCTACCCTACGACCCAGGAATTGCACTACTAGATATATACCCAAAGGATACAAAAATACCAACTCAAAGGGGCACATGCACTCTGATGTCAACAGCATTATCAACAAAGCCAAATCATATTAAAAGCCCAAGTGTCCATCAACTGAGGGGTGGATAAAGAAGATGTGGTGTGTGTGTGTGTGTGTGTGTGTGTGTGTGTGTGTGTGTGTGTGTATAATGGAATTAAATTACCATTAGCCATAAAATTTAAATTAGCCATAAAAAAGAATGGAATTTTGCCATTTGCAATGATGTGGATGTGGATAGAGCTAGAGGGTATTCTGCTAAGCAAAATAAGTCAGTCAGAGAAAGACAAATACCATATGATCTCACTCATATGTAGAATTGAAGAAAAAGAATAGATGAACACAGGGGAAAGAAAAAAGAGAGGGAGGCAAAAAAGACTTTTTTAAAAAAAGATGTTATTTATTTGATAGAGCACAAGCAAGGGGTGGGGTGGGTAGGGGCAGAGGGAGAGGGAGAAGCAGAGAGCCTGACTCAGGGCTTGATCCCAAGACCCCGGGATCATGCCTGAGCCAATCCTGGGATCATGACCTGAGCCGAAGGCAGACACTTAACCAACTGAGCCAGCCAGGCTCCCTGAGAGACTACAGAGAACAAACTGAGGGTCGCTGGAGGGAGGTGGGTGGGGGGTGGGCTAAATGGGGGATGGGGATTAAGGAAGGCAGTTGCTGTGTTGAGCCCTGGGTGTTATATGTAGGTGGTGAATCACTAAATTCTGCTCCTGAAACTAATATTACATTATATGTTAATTAGAATTTAAATAAAAACTTGAAACATTAAAAACAAATGAAAGGCTAAAAAAAAAAATGTTAAAAAAAGAAAGAAAAAAGGCCAGCAAGGCCATCAGTGTCTAATCAAACTGCATGCTTAAGCCCTAGTTTTCCTGTGCCCTTCAGGAGTGTGCACCTAATAGTCTCCTAACCGCCCTACCCGTGCATTACTCAGGCTCGAGCTACTGGGTATTTTTGAAGGTGAGTTTGTGTCTAACTGGAGAGAAGCTTCTAGAGGGTTTGCAAGTTGGAAGGCGGCCTAGTGTAATGCTTACCAAACAAATGAGCTTTGTTTGGGCTTTGCCAGGGCTTGAACTGGGGAGCATGGCTATCTAGTGTCTCTGCAGTGTTCAGCCTCCTCAT